AATTTCATCTTTATAACAGTTACCAAGTGCAAATATTCTATTAGCATGACCCATATCAGCAGATTTTTGATAATAAATAAATGCTTTATGTTCATCCTTTTCAACTCCAATTCCATTTCAATAACAATATCCAACATTATATATTCCATCAGTGTTCCCCATCTTTGCAGATTTTTGATAATAAATAAATGCCTTATGTTCATTCTTTTCAACTCCAATTCCATCTTTGTAACAGTTACCAAGTGCAAATATTCCACTAGCATATTTCATTTTTGTAGATTTTTGATAATAAATAAATGACTTATGTTCATCCTTTTCAACTTCAATTCCATTTTGATAACAATATCCAACATTATATATTCCATCAGTGCTCCCATTTCTGCAGATTTTTGATAATAAATGAATGCCTTATGATTATCCTTTTCAACTCCAATTCCATTTTGATAACAGACGCCAAGTGCAAATGTTCCATTAGCATCACCCATCTCTGCAGATTTTTGATAATAAATAAATGCTTTTATGTTCATCCTTTTCAACACCGATTCCATATTGATAACAACCACCGGCTATAAACATTCCATTTAAATTTTCTATTTCAGAAGCTATTTGATCAATAAGGCCAACAGGTTCTTGAGAACGAATTGATGCCTTATGGTCATCATTTTCAATTATATTTTGATACCGACGTCTAGTATTATATTTTGACAAGTATTGTCCATTTAGTGAAAAATTTTACTAAATGTCTGGCAGGCAATATTCTGAATGCAAATATATTTTCAGTAGAAATGATTTTTATAAATATCGTGAATAAATTATCAATATATATCATTATATTGTTATATCAATCATCTTGTTATGGAAATTCTTTACGTACGTACGTATTAAATGAAGAACTAAAAAAGTAAAAATCAATCCAGCCATAAATTCTTTATTTAGTAACTAAAATTTAACAAAGGATTTTGTACCGATATTCCTACGTACATTTATATTATTTTAATTATTAAATGAAATAACTAAAAAAATAAAATCCCAATCTTGTTGCCACTAGAATTTAGAGAAGTAATAAAGTTTGGTTTTACAATGGGCATTCTCAAGTCTCAACCTCGATGTGATTGGATAATGACTGTAATCGAGCACAACTATAATTATATTTAGGTAAAATTTTTGATAACAAATCGAATATGCAAAATATGCAAAATATGCAAATTAAGAAGTACGTAATCAAAGTTTGCTATTCTCTATGCGATTAGCTAATAAACGTGACGATGCTCTTTTACTTCGTTATCAAAATAAGAATTATAATTGATATTTTAATTAATACTTGAGCGATCCATCAATATTTTATCAAATGTCTGTTGCATGATACGTAGTTACTTGTTGTGGTCTTTTTGAATACACAATTAACTGTAGGCCTAAAATGGTTGTAAATTGAAAAGATAAATTAATTAGGTAATAAACTTTATTGAACTACGATGTTTATTTAAATATTCATTAAGTAAAACTTATCCTTCAGGCTATTATGATCTGCATCGATCAATAATATAATTATTTTTAACTTAACAGTTCCAATAATATGTATCGAGATTTAAACTTTATTTAACCAATTTATACTGATTACATTATTAATAAAAACATATTGATATATATGTTGTAAATGGGAACGGAATTTAGATTGATTTGGAATTTCTTAATAAAATTGTAATTTTAGGGTAGAATTTATTTTATATAAACCTAAAACTCCTAAGAAAACCCACTTAAATTTTGTTTCCGTTTACAACATATATGCTGTAGAGCATAAAAATTTTGAAAGTTTAGGCATGTTTATGTTAGTTGAATAAGCTAATCAGAGAGTGGTCCAAAAGGCATAAAATTCGTATTTATAGTAAAAAAAAAGTTCATGCAGATCGTCATGGCCAGAAGGATAATACCGTTATTGGGTACGTAAGCTACCAATAACTACTTTATTCATTGAAGATTTTGCAAGTGATAGGGTCTAATACGTGCCGCATGTTAACCAATCATTTACCTTGTCACTTGCAAAATTTTCAATGAATAAGAACGTTATTCGTCAAATTTTTTGACGAATAACTGGTCGCTTCGCGCTTAATAACTATATTCACCGACATTTTTTGTCCCATTGATTAGGCCCAATAATTAAAAAACAAACGCATTTAAAGTAGACCATGCTAGAGACGTGGACATTTGTCAAGTCAAGGGTAGCTACCTGCTACGTCATATAAAATTTGGATAGCTATCGTAGTTACAGCTACGCTCTAATGTCCGCACCTTTAGGCCATGTATTTGTACTGACATTTACAGTCAACTACCGAGATAATGGAAATCTAAGCTGTCCTAAAAGTTCTGGTATATAGTAGATTTGTTATACCTATATAATGGAATAGGTTTCAAATCAGATTTTGAATAGTCATTAGTAAAATCTGTCGTTAGAGTTCGGAATTTGCTTTTCTATACATCTACAGTGAGAGAAGAGATACAATTCAAAATATCCCAATCTGAGTTGCTTCAAAATATAAGCTTATGATATATTTATTAATACTTATCTGTGTGGTTAATAATTTATTATTCAAATTGTGGCCTTCGGTTATATAATATTAGTATACTATATAATATATAATTAGTTTTTGTTAGAGGTTCGATCCGGTAAAAAAATGAAAAACCGAATCTTCATTCAATTGCAAATATTCAGATATATTTATCAAATATACGATTCATATTACACGGGTACCTAGAGGTCTGACCCAGTCATTGCAATCCGATTAGTATCATGTTTTTAATTAATTTCTTTCGGTATTTTATTACTGTATTACGGAGTCACATAATTTTCTTGAAAAACCTTTCACTTCTCTGACACAACTATTTTCCTGACAATCGCTCTTCCACCTTCCCCGATGCAATCACTTCCTGACACCCTCACTTCATTTCTGGTGGAATGTAAGATAAATAACCATAAATTTCATCTTTTAAGTCAGACTCATTCTTTTAGATCTAGATCTATGATATAAAATATTAGATTACTATCAATATATTTTATTTTGCAATCTATTACCACTATGAAATCAGTACTTTATTAAATTTCCTGATATATAAACAAGCTGCTTTTATTACATTTCTAATTAAGTTCTTTAAAATTCGGTGATAGGGAATTATGAAGGTTTCTCTTAATTGCATATTGAAATACCATTATAGTTATGTCCTGAGTTAATACATTTCTATTAATCTAACTTCAGCATAGTCGTTAAACTTGTTAAATAAAATAGAGTTTATAAGGTTAATTTAGCTGAATTATAAAAATAAATCATCTTATCTGAATTATAAAAATAAATCATCTTACCTGAATTATTTTGTAAGCCAGATTAAGTTATAAGCACAATTACATGTAATGGTATACATGATTGTATGTAAGATTCACTATATTCACATGAGCCTCTTCACCAATATTTTGAATATTACCTATTTTCACATGTGTTGTTTTATGAGAATTACGTGTTTGGCACCAAGCTTTAGAGGTGCTATTTTGGTTGCAGTTGCACAGTTTCTATTTTAATGCTTTCTTTCGGAATAAATTCAACAACTACACGTTTTGCAGTGCTTTGAATTAGTTCATATACTTTTAAGTTCTTTTATTCCTTAACAATATATAATCTACAACGTTATTAAGGATATATATAAATTAAAATCGAGCTGTATATATCACATCTAGAATTTAACGTTAAAAAAGCCGAATTAATAATTATAAGATGTGATGTGCCTACGCGGATTTTATCATTTTCTCGACAAGTTATCCCGCATTAGGTTAGGGTTGGGTTTAGTTCTTGTCAAGAATTTGCTTGTGTGCCTATGACCAATAATGTTGGGTGACGAATGATGGAATATTCGTCATTGACGAATGACGAAACCATTTCGTCAGGCAGCCTCGAGTTGACGAAATGACGAATGACGAAATTCATGACGAATGACGAAATTCATGACGAATGACGAAATTCATGACGAATAACAAAAATAATAAACATTATATATAATATATAGCATTTGGACGTAATAAATGTAAGAAAAATAATGAGATTTTTTTTTAGGATTCATTGAAAAGTTAATACCCACAAAACGACAACGTATAACGATAAACCCTTTTGGCATATCGACATTACTCGATATCTACATTAATCGCCGATAGGTACGCGAAAAAAAAACCATCGGTAATAAAAATTCATTAGCTTCAAGTCCAATCTAATGTAAGATTAATTTTTATATGAATTCATTAACCTTACAACGAACTGACTACTTGATATATACTTGATATCATAGGCATAAATTCAATTTAATTTTACATTATTTATACAGTTTAGAGTACTTTTCAAAAAAACGAAAACCAACCATAATAAAGTAAAAAAAATTCATATAGAAGGTTTCATTAGAGCTGTAGGACTCCATAGCCAAAAATAAGATCTAATTCTCGTCCGTTTAAAAAAATTAGTTTAGTAATGAATTGATTTTATCAGGTTTTGAGAAGTTATTACTAAACTAACTTTTTTATGGATAAGTATTTTTGGCTATGGAGCCTACAGCTCTAATGAAACCTTCTATATATCTTTTTTTATTTCACTATAATTAGTTTTCGTTTTTTTTAAAAAGTACTCTAAACTGTATAATAATGTAAAATTAAATTGAATTTATTAGCCAATCAGACAAACTTCTGCCTATGAGAATTTATTATGATAACCAACTTCCTACCTCTAAGTAAAAGTTTTCAGAATAAATTTTACTCATAGTACACAATTTTTAATGTTAGGTATATTGGGAATTTTTGAGAACTACGACCTACCGAGAGTTGACCGTATACGCTAAAATTTTAAACCAGGTCTAACACACAATCAGGGCGAACTTCGTGATTTGCATCACTCCGTAGCTAATTTGGATGGCTGTACAACAAATATCAATCTGGTTTTTGTTAAACATTAAAAAAAAAATTTCTTTCATAAAAAATGTCTTATTATTTTATACTTCCTGGTATTTACAAAATTTATTGAACGTCTTCCTATTACCTCGAATAATGTAATCATTAATGATTTGATGGGATTTAGATGCACCCTTACGACCTACCCGCTAAAATTCCAGGTGTGGACAGTTTGGCATTCTTTAAACAACAAGACATGCAACACTTTGGTAAATTATTAGAAGACAAAGATGAAAGCGATTTATCTGTTGATGAGTTGAAGGAACGCATTATTATGCGCCTTTTTCTGAAGATAAAGAGCGGAATCTCACCCCTGAGAAAGACGGCATTACGACATATAACTGATAAAATCCTTCCACTTTTGATGTCGCAAAATTTAGAAGATTAGGAAAGACATTTGTTGGTTAAAGTTATAAACCGTATACTTTATAACTGGATACTTTGGTTCGTCCCTATGTTCATGAGATCTTTGTAGTTATTGAACCGCTCTTAATCGATGAAGACGATGCAGTAAGTTATATGAAATTCGTTACATTAACCGGTCATACGTACGCTACACTTTTTGTTTT